TTACGTGATTTCTGCGTGCTTCAGGCCTATCCTTCCAAGACGCTGATTGGAGTGGGTCAGCTTAGAGATGGACTATACTACCTGAGTCGTTCTGATCACATGGGTTCAGCTCGCGCCTGCACGACCACTGGACTAGGAGATCCGACACGCCTCTGGCATGCCCGGCTGGGGCACCCATCGTTCGATAAACTTGCTTTGTTAAAAGATTCTTTGGGTTGTAGTTTCACTTCTCCGAGTTCCTCTCCTTGTGATCCTTGTTTTCGAGCTAAACAGACTCGAACTCCTTTTGCTACCAGTTCGATTAAAACTACTGGCTGTTTCGATTTGATTCATGTTGACATTTGGGGGGCTTATCGGACGCCTGCTCTTGATGGTTCTCGCTATTTCTTGAATATTGTGGACGATTTTAGTCGTTCCACTTGGGTTTATTTGATGAAATTTAAGTCGGATGTGGAACGTTATCTCCGTATGCATTGCCAGCTTGCTCATACACAATTTGGGAGGACTGTTCGTCGCATACAGGCAGACAATGGCCCAGAGTTTCAGACCAATTCTCTCCGCGATTATTACGAGGAGCATGGGATAATTCTGCAGACTTCGTGCACAGATACCCCTCAGCAGAATGGCGTGGTAGAAAGGAAACACCGTCATTTATTGGAGACTGCCAGAGCACTTATGTTTCATGCAGGTTTGCCAGTTCGTTTCTGGGGCGAGTGCGTTCTTACTGCAACATATCTCATCAACCGCTTACCCTCACCAGTGATCGGTGGGAAGACACCGTTTGAGATATTGCTGGGCAAAACTCCCACGTACACTCACATCCGCAGTTTCGGATGCCTTGTTTATGCAAAGGACACTCATCACGGGTTGGATAAATTTGCCAATCGGGGCTGTGCAGGTGTTTTCATCAGATATCCGGGTACTCAGAAGGGATACCGTATATATGATCTACGTACGAAGCGGATATTTGTCTCACGTGATGTCCATTTCCTTGAGCATGTATATCCATTTCTCCTTAGGTCCGCGGCCAGGCCCTCACCATCGCCGGACGTGCATGCTTTACGTCGGCTGCATGGGGACTTGGATCCCTCTCTCCCATGCTCCTTTATTGTCGATGATGAGCCCACGGATCACGTTGCTGGTTTTGATCAAGAGCAGCCCGCTGGTGCTGATGATGTGGCCGACGATGATGATGTTGTGCTCGAGTCTTCCACGATGGAGTCTCCTGCCTCACCTATCCTCGATTCCTCGTCCACTCCAGCCGAGCCTGTGCAAGTGGAAGAACCAGCGACTGCCCCCGAGCCTCGTCGCAACCCACCACGTGACAGGCGCCCTCCAAGTTACTTGGCCGGGTATGAAGTCGACCTGCCCTCTTCTTCTGCTTCTCATGTTGAATTTCCCATGTCTAATTATGTCAGTTACCATCGATTCTCACAAACTCATCGTGCTTTTTTGGCTGTTCTCTCTAAATTTGACGAGCCTCGCACCTATGCACAAGCCGTCCAATATGAGCAATGGCAGGACGCCATGCAGCGTGAGATCGATGCTCTTGAGGCACAGGGAACATGGACTTTGGAATACCTGCCTCCCGGGAAGCATGCCATTGACTCTAAATGGGTTTACAAGATCAAGTTCAATCCTGATGGCACCATCGAGCGATACAAGGCACGGTTGGTGGCGAAAGGCTTCACTCAGTTAGAAGGGATCGATTTTCACGATACCTTTGCTCCGGTGGCGAAGCTAGTTACGGTCCGTGTTCTCTTGGCGCTTGCTGCCAAACGCGGCTGGCCACTCCATCAGCTCGATGTCAACAATGCATTCTTGCACGGTGATCTCGAGGAGGAGGTCTATATGAGAGTTCCCCAAGGCTTTGCTAAGGATGGTGATACTCGAGTTTGTCGTCTTCGGAAGTCTCTTTACGGATTACGACAGGCATCTAGAAACTGGTATGCTAAATTCACTGAAGCATTATTGGAGTTTGGTTTCACGGTCTCCAAGGCCGACCCATCTCTCTTCACCTATTAGGCGGATGGAGCCTTCTTGGCGGTTTTGATATATGTTGATGACGTGGTACTCACTGGTGATAGTCCCGCTCACATCACTCGTGTCAAGGAATTTCTTCATCGGCGTTTCAGTATTAAGGATCTGGGACCACTTAAATACTTCCTCGGCATTGAGGTTGCTCGCTCTCCCGAGGGTATAGTTCTCAGTCAACGCAAATATACACTGGATATACTGGCTGATGCAGGCATCACTGCAGCCCGACCCAGTGCTTTTCCACTCGAGCAGAACCACACTCTGACTCGGCCCTCTGACGAGCGCATTGCTGATGTGGGTGCTTATCGCAGGCTTGTTGGCCGTTTGCTATATCTCACCATTACCCGTCCCGATATTGCTTACTCTGTTAATCTCCTCAGTCAGTTCGTTCACTCTCCGAGCCCAGACCACATGGTTGCCGCCCAGCGTGTTCTTCGTTATCTGAAGACAGCTCCTGGTCAAGGTTTGTTCCTACCCTCTGGTGGTTCTTTAGAGCTCACGACTTATAGTGATGCTGATTGGGCGGGTTGCCAGTTTAGTCGGCGTTCTACCACGGGCTATTACATTGAGTTTGGCGGCGCCCCGGTGTCTTGGCGGGCGAAGAAACAGAAGGTGGTTGCCCGTTCATCCGCGGAGGCAGAGTACCGTGCGATGGCAAGCACCACTAGTGAGTTACTCTGGTTGCGCTTCCTGCTCCGTGAATTACAGGTTCCACAGGCTGCTCCGACTACACTGTTTTGTGACAACCAAGCTGCGTTGCACATTGCCGCCAACCCTGTCTTCCATGAGCGCACCAAGCATGTCGAGATGGATTGCTACTTCGTTCGTGAGCGTGTCACTTCAGGTGAGATCCGACCGCAGAAAGTTGGCACCTCTTCACAGCTTGCCGATATCTTCACCAAGGCGTTGGGCACAGAACAGTTTCATGTCTTGCTTTCCAAGCTTGGCATTCGAAACCTTCATGCTTCAGCTTGAGGGGGAGTATTGGGCGGAGTTGCATTGATTTGTAATTTAATTTATATGGAGGACCTCTTCTATTATTTGCCACTTAAAACCTAGCTGCTTGTGGCATTAGTCGAGTAGGTCAGCCGCCATTCTCCTGGTACTTAAGTGATGGAGATTGGCTTCTCCCTGTAACTGAATAACAAATTAGTGAAGCTTTGCTTGAGAGCGTTGCTCTCCGTGGAGTAGTCCCGGTACTCGGGGAAACCACGTTAAACCCTCGTGTTCTTTATTCTTCCGCGTTTTACAAGTATTTACAAACCGGATAAAGACAGGATAAGAGAGCTCAACACCCAAAAGTTCAAAACACTTAACCAACTCCTCACCCTTTTAGACCTCAGGCCACTCAAATCCCCACAACCTCAATCTACAATCAAAACCGAATTGGGACCGGACCGGATCAAAACTGAACTGTATCCAATCCAATATTTAATTCTTATATTCTTGAAAAGACTGGACCAAGACCAGATCAATTTGGACCAATTTAACTGGACCGGACCGAACCGTATAGTCACCCCTGCATCTATCTATCTATATATATATCTATCATCATTATAACAACTTCTTAGTTCTTACCACCACAACCATTTACTACGGTCGGTTCGATTCCAATTCCCAATTCATTGGCCACGGAAAAAGGAGAAGAAAAGAGTGTCTCGTTGGCAAGAAGATAAGAAGAGTACATAATAGTACAAGGGGAGATGGCAGATGGGTTTTTTGAGGTTGTGGATTGTGGTGTAGGCAGGGAGACATAATTGCTCCCCCAATCAATGCACATTGCCCAGTGGCCCAACCAACCCGACCAGATCAAACCAAACCAGGCCACCACAGTACCCTTTGCTTTCTGCCTCTCCTATATGAATAACAACGAGTTGGATTGGACTGGATAATGACTATCCGTTATCCTGATCTAACTAATTCATGCGTTATACATACTCTCATACTCACAGAAAATTCATAAAGTAAATTAAAACTATGTCCATACCCAATTGGGTCTGGAATCATTTATATCCACTGATAATCACGTTACATATGCGAAGAATTATAAATAATGAATACTAAGAAACATTGGTTCATGAGACGCTACAATTATATCAGGAATACTGATGTATGGTAAAATATTAAGTAACGCTTTATACAAAACATTGTATATGCATGTATAATAGGAAGACTTAGGAGTGGAGAATAAGAAAACTATATTCATGTACCCATTATCCATAACATCCGTGATCAAATTTATCCACAATACTATTTAGTTCAAATTTTACCCCCATGTGAACCGAATTTAGATGAGTGTCCATAATTATGGCAATTTTTGCAATTCCTACTCCGTCCTCAAATCTCAATACAAACAAATATGTGAAATTTAAAGTTTGGAAGTTGCGATTGTTAAATAAAAATGTACTTTTATGAATATATATATAATATTATACATGTATTGATGAATTTGATGCATTGTAAAATACAATACTTGGTATGTATGATTGTGTATTTCACATAAACCAAACTATCTCAACTATCTAAAATATTTACAGCTTTATAACATTTACTAATTTTTAGTGATAGTTTAGTGTTTACTAATTAAAAAAAAAATTGTGAAATTCTAAACAAGTAAAACAAAAATATCAACCTTTCTATCTGGTTTTCCTGCAAATGTACGGACGCCTGGGGCTCCACCGCCGACGTGCCGCCACGCCGGACGGCTCCAAGCCCGAGAGAGAGCGCGTGAGAGAGAGAGTCCTCCCTCCGGCCAACTTGCCAGCTGGCATGACTGTGTATAACTATTTGCCTACTGGCTGTACCTTATCCTCTTTCCTTTTCCCCCCTTTTCTTCTCCTTTATTTTCTTTTAATTTTGCCCACTTACAATTTTCACCCACAAAAAAAAAAAAAATTCGAGAAAAAGTATGCTAAAAGGAAAATTGTACAGATACAGATAGATAAAAATGAGATAGAGAGAGAGAAGAAAAAAGATATGTAAAATGCAGGGAGGACCAACCCAACCCAGCAAAGCCAAACCCTAGATTTCTTCTTCCTTCCTTGCCAAATAACAAAAATAAAATTCCTTTCTCCTTCCCCAAAACCCTCCCCACACAGTGCTTCCTTCCTCCTTTCCCAATTTCTTCGATTCTTCAGATCCAATTACAAACAACCTCTCTACTCGTATCTTCTCACACCTTTCCGACGAACCAGAGGTTAGTTGTTTTTTTAGTGTGTAAGCTTCTTTCTATCTCCAATTTGTTCTCTTTTCCTTCAATTTTATCTCCCGATTGCTATCCGTCTCCACCTACTTAGCCTTTGGATTCGTCACTTCCAAAGTTTGTAGTTTGCTATCTAGTTTTGTCCTCGTCTCTGTTTTCTTACGCAGTCTAATCATTCGTTTTTGGCTATATTTGGATCTCATCCACCTTTTTAACTTGTTTTGCTGGTACCCTCTTTTGATCGGATTTTAGGGTTGTCTTCTGCTCGATTGATCGTTATCGCGGTATCGTGATTGGGTTCTGTACGGTACCCATTTGCAGATCCTGCTAAATTTCCCGTCTTTCTGCTGGGGTGAGGGGTTTTCTGCATAAGTTTGAGATCGTGGGGCTGCTAAATTTCCCATCTTTTTTTCGTTGATAGCTGAGCCCTTGTGAAGAGCTATAAAGGGTCTTCAAGATGATGTCCAAATCGTATACCAATCTCTTGGATCTAGCTTCGGGCAACTTCCCGATAATGAGTCAACAACCGCGGGAGAGGAAGAGGTTGTCTCGTGTGATGACTGTTCCCGGGGTCATCTCCGAGCTTGATGATGATCAGGCGAATAGCGTTGCCTCGGACGTGCAGTCTTCCTTAATCCAGGACCGGATAATAATCGTGGCGAACCAGCTGCCGGTGAAGGCCAAGCGGAGGCCGGATAATAAAGGGTGGAGTTTTAGCTGGGATGAGGATTCTTTAATGTTACAGTGTAAAGATGGTTTCCATGAAGATATGGAAGTTATATATGTTGGTTCTTTGCGGGTTGAGGTTGACCCGAGCGAGCAAGACGATGTGTCCCAGCTTTTGTTGGACAAGTTTAAATGTGTTCCTGCATTCCTGCCTCCTGATATCTTGAACAAGTTTTATCACGGGTTTTGTAAGCAGCATTTGTGGCCGCTTTTCCATTACATGCTTCCCTTCTCTGCCAGTCATGGTGGGCGGTTCGATAGATCCTTGTGGGAAGCATATGTTGCGGCAAATAAAATCTTCTCACAGAGGGTGATTGAGGTTATAAATCCGGAGGATGATTATGTCTGGATTCATGACTATCATTTGATGGTGCTACCAACCTTCTTGAGAAGAAGGTTCACCAGATTGAGAATGGGTTTCTTTCTTCATAGTCCATTCCCATCATCGGAGATATACAGAACGTTGCCTGTGAGGGAAGAGATTCTCAAGGCACTGCTGAATGCTGACCTTATTGGATTTCATACGTTTGATTATGCTCGTCATTTTCTCTCCTGCTGTAGTCGTATGTTGGGGTTAGAATATCAGTCAAAACGAGGTTATATTGGATTGGAATACTATGGTAGAACGATCGGAATCAAGATCATGCCGGTTGGCATTCACATGGGACAGATTGAGACAGTATTGAAGCATGCTGATAATGAGTGGAGAGTGAAAGAGCTGAAACAGCAGTTTCAAGGAAAGACGGTTTTACTCGGTGTTGATGATATGGACATCTTCAAAGGTCTTAACTTGAAGCTTCTGGCAATGGAAGCGATGCTGAAACAACACCCAAAGTGGCAAGGAAGGGCGGTTTTGGTCCAGATTGCTAATCCTGCCAGGGGGAGCGGGAAAGACCTCGAAGAAGTGCAGGCGGAGATTCAGGAAAGTTGCAAGAGGATTAATGAGACTTTCGGCAGACCAGGCTATGAACCAGTTGTGTTCATCGATAGACCAGTATCACTTAGTGAAAGGACAGCGTACTACAATGTTGCTGAGTGTGTGGTGGTGGCAGCTGTTAGGGACGGGATGAATCTTACTCCTTATGAGTATGTTGTGTGTAGGCAGGGCGTCTCTGGTTCAAGTTCCAGTTCAGAATCCAGTGTCCCCAAGAAGAGCATGCTAGTTGTTTCTGAGTTCATTGGGTGTTCCCCTTCTCTTAGCGGTGCTATTCGGGTCAATCCTTGGAACATGGAATCAACTGCCGAGGCTATGAATGAGGCCATTTCAATGTCTGACAATGAAAAGCAGTTGCGGCACGAGAAGCACTACAGATATGTCAGTTCACATGATGTGGCATACTGGTCGAGAAGCTTTTTCCAAGATCTGGAGAGGGCATGCAAAGACCACTTCAGAAGGCGATGTTGGGGTATTGGGTTGAGCTTTGGCTTCAGAGTTGTCGCGCTCGATCCTAACTTCAGAAAGCTGTCGATTGATGCAATTGTTAGTGCATATTTGAGGTCCAAGAAGAGGGCTATCTTGCTTGATTATGATGGAACTGTAATGCCTCAAACATCAATCAATAAGTCGCCAAGTCAAGAAGTACTTTCAATTATCAATACCCTCAGCAGTGATGCAAAGAACACAGTTTTTCTTGTTAGTGGAAGAGGGAAGGATAGTTTAGGTCAGTGGTTCTCTCCTTGCAAAAAACTTGGAATTGCTGCGGAACATGGTTACTATTTGAGGTAAGTAGTGTGCTACTTGAGTTTTTTTATTTTTGTTTTATCTTTTGAACTTGGTTCCCATTTCCGAAAGTTTTCATGGTGTGACAGGTGGTCTGCTGATAAGGACTGGGAAATCTGTGGGCAAAACTGTGATTTTGGATGGTTTCAGATAGCTGAGCCCGTAATGAAGTTGTATACAGAATCAACAGATGGTTCTTACATCGAAACCAAGGAGAGTGCCTTGGTCTGGCACCATAGAGATGCTGATCCAGGTTTTGGTGCAAGCCAGGCTAAGGAGTTGTTGGACCATCTTGAAAGTGTACTTGCAAATGAACCCGTAACTGTTAAAAGTGGTCAATATATTGTGGAAGTAAAGCCGCAGGTGAGCGTATCTCCTGACTCATTTGATTGTTGTCGCATTTGCAGCCAAATTCCCAATCTGATTCATTTTGCTAGCTACTGTCTCGGCACACAACCATGTCAAGTGTCTTTAGCTATTACTTCAAACTGAAGTCATATTCTATTAGGCAGGAACTTAATTGATGTCTGATTTGCTGTTCCCTGCTGGTTCATTTGATTTAACCAATTGCATGTCACTTGGAGAACCTGTAAAGTGTCAGGTAGTAGAATTGGGAGTGTGAAAATATTCTTAGAATAAGTCAGTAATTGGTGAAATGATTAGGTGGTCGTACAGGATTTATAATAGATGGAATTATATAGATAATTTCGTCCTGTGAAATGCCTAAAAGGGACTCCACCAACTTTCATAGTCTTGTAAAAGAGAAAGGGAGGGAGTGCAAATCAATGTAGGTTTAACATATTAAACTTGGAAAACTTGGAATTTAAAGGTAGAAGTGAAAAGTTGGTATGCATTGTAGTGAAAAGTTGTTTAGTACCAACTGATGGAGTTAAATGGGATCTTATATAGTTGGAAGATAACATATTTTTTGGAGGACATGGTTATGTTATTTGAACTGGTTCCTAACTGTTGTGTTATTTGATGCTAATAGTGCCTCCTAATATCCTCTTCCATGATTGATTGTTATTAGCCTTACAGCATGTGCAAGTGTAATGGCTGATCTCTTATCTTAGGGCTCTAGTAAGAATCTGTCCAGATATTAGATGCTAATAGTGCTTCTTGGTATCCTCTTCCATGATTGATAATCACTTGGGACTCTTGGTACGAATCTGCCCAGCATTTTATTAATGCAAGTTGTTCTGATCTTTGGTTTATCTTTTCTTAATCAGGGTGTTAGCAAAGGTGTAGTAGCGGAGAAGATATTTACATCAATGGCCGATAAAGGAAGACAGGCCGATTTTGTGCTGTGCATTGGCGACGACAGGTCGGACGAAGACATGTTTGAGAGGATCGGTAATGCCTCAACAAGCGGAGTACTCGCATCGAGCACGAACGTATTTGCATGCACAGTAGGCCAGAAACCAAGCAAAGCCAAGTACTATTTGGACGACACAAGTGATGTCTTGCACATGCTCAGAGCTCTTGCTGAAGATTCAGACCCTTTATCTGATGAAGAAGATGAAGACAGCAGATCCCCCTAACGTCCTATCCATTTCTTCCTCCACAGCATTTTTCTGTGGGTCATTTGTTGGTCGAATTCATGACGGAAGAATACACACCATAGCAAAGCCCTGGGCTCCAGTTAGTTGAACGAAGAGACGTGGTTTGTTTGTGGCCCATTAGCCATGGCATAGCCCCGGGAAGGGAGGCTAGTCAAAGCCCTGCAAATCTGGCAAAGGAAGGGAAATGGATGGCTGTTTCGAACAAAACAGTGAAAAATGGTTGGTCTGGTAAACAAATGAATGGGCTTTGCTAAGGTGGTGTAGGGTGGATGGGTGCGAGAAGAGGGATGGAACCTTATCTTATGAACAGGAACTGAATGGTTATTGCTTGACGGTTGACGATGGATGGATTGCAATGAATTAACGCATTGCAGTATTGTGGCAGTGAAGTTATGATAAGGAAAAGAAAGGTCTGTACTTTGCTGTTGTTTGAATGTTCCCACCATTGTTAACAGAGACAGTCATGGTGGTGGGATTATATACTTTTTCCCTTTTGCTCTGTCTAGAGAGAGTAGTCGAGTGAGTGATTTATTTTCATTCCCCGCGTTTACTGTCGACTATTGGTTTGGTAAAAATTCAATTGCCCTGTCCAATGTGTAAATGTTATACTGAAAACTGGCAGTCGAGTTTATTCTATTCTCTGCATAAAAGTTTGATTCTTTGGGGTCGACGGCAAGTGATGTTTGAATTGAACAGTTTGCATTCTGACTATCATTCCCAAATCCAGTTCGTTTTATCTGAGTGAATTCGTCGTAGTACTTTCCCAGGGCTCTGCATTTCAGGATTGAGCCTGCTGTCCAGGCGGACACCCAAAATCGACATGGCGAACAATGTTCATCGACAGATAGCATCGGTGAACATCGATTCGTCCGTTTCGTTAGACATTGGTCACCGTCGGATGAACCATGCTCTGCAATTACTGATACGTCCCCAATCCCACATATCAACCAGCTTTAACATTAAGTACTAAACTTCCGAGTTCTCAAGTCCTCGCTAAATGTGCTAAAACAGTAGTCAAATGAAAAAAGAACTAGCTTCTCACTCAAAAACTGTCACTTTTTCCAACTTTTCGTATGTTCTTCTCTTCCTAACACTTTTAATTAACAGAAGGATACATGGGGGAAAACAACTACTACAGCAGGAACGCTAACAGGGTTCTCAGAAGCCAAAGAAGCCGAGCTCGCTGGCCTTCTCCTTCTCGAAGGTCTCAAAGTACTGGTAGATGATGGTGACTGCCAGCAGGATTCCAGTTCCCGAACCGATTGCTCCCATGAAATCGGCCAGCACGGTCAATGCACCAATGCAAATCCCACCGAAAGCAGCTGCCGTTGGGATGTAGCGGTTCAGCTCCTTCTGCAGGTTCGAGTCACGGTGTCCTGGCATCACCATTTGTTGCTCCTGAAAAGGGGAGAACACACACGATCAGGTAACACAACCAAAAGACAAAGCTACAGCATTCATTAGCATGAAGCTGGAGAAAAAAGCAAATAATCAAAGATGGCCACCAAATCGTACCTTCAATTGCTTGGCAACATCACGGGCAGAAGATCCAGAAACCTCAATCCAGGTTTTTGAGAAGAGCGCGCAAGCACCGAGCATAAATACCAGGTAAAACAATGCATGGAATGGGTTGGCTGCCATGTCTGCCAAGCTGCGATAGGTGAAATTCATAGAAAGACCGAACCAGAAAAGACAAGTGAGAAGATCGCACCACAGGATACACAAGACATTGCAATGTGAGATATGGCGGGAGAGGGAAGAGACAAATGGATGGGCTGCTTTACCTAGCTGGCGCAGTGACGTAGTATGCAAGGCCACCAACAGGGATAAACTGGCCACCAGAGTATTCAGACTCCTTCCACTTTCCCAACAAGTTGACAAAGAAATTGCCGCTGTACTTCCTGTAGAGCAGCTGAGAGATGAAGTAGAGGTTGGAAACAAGAGCAGATTGGAGGATGATTGGCATGTTGGAGGTGTAGAAAAGCTTAATTGGGTATGAACCCTGCTGCCCACGAGCATTCTTTGACCTCACAGGTAGCACAACACGGAAACCTTGGAAGTAGATAACAATGAGGAAGATCAAGACTGTGGCAAGCAAATTAGTAACATTTGGAAGATTCTGTCGGTAGAAAGCCTCTCGAAGAGCACGAACTTTGTCCGTCCTAGTAATTAAGAGATGGAACAAGGCAATAACAGCACCCTCGAACTCGGCACCCCGACCACTGTTGATTGTTGTAGGGCTGAATGCTTTCCAGATGATGTTTTCACTGCATTGAATTAACATTTGAGCAAACAACAATCAGAACCCAGCATAGATGAAATAATGGGTAGTATGGTTTATGGAATGTGTTCATGCAATGTTGAGTTAAATTCAACCATGAGATGAAAAGTGAACTTATTTGGTGTACTCTTTCAAGAGAAGAAAAGTGGGAAAGATGTAATCTAAATTTGATTGAGGACAGGTACGATTCTCACACTCCATGATTGTGTAATTGTTCACGTTGTTAAGTTTCTCAGTTGCTAACAATGGTAAGACGAAATGTTGTCCTAGTTGAATTCCCAGAGTCATTTTCCAACATTACAAAAAATGCATCCAAATGATGAAATGTCCAAATCCATTCGTACCACATTCCATGAATTATACTTTTTTCATGAATTGCTATAGTGCATAAACCAATCAACCCACAATTAAACCGATAAAGGAAAGCAGAAACTTATGTATGCATCCCTACCAGATGTTGGTGGCAATGAAGAGAGAAATCCCAGAGCCAAGACCATATCCCTTCTGGAGCAGCTCATCCAGACATATAACAATGATTCCAGCGAAGCACAACTGAAGAATGATGAGAATCGCATTCCCAACACCCAACTGACCAACACTTCCGTACATCCCAGATAGCACATATGCAACAGCCTCACCAACAGCAATCAGGATACCCAACAGCTTCTGTGCGCCATTCCTAATAACCACCAATGAGGAATACAAAATTTCATAAGAAAGAACACTATCAGCTTTGCCAAACAGAAAGACCACATGCAACTCAGCAGTTACAAACGCTCACATCACTAACAACTCCACATGATTATCAAACAAAGAGCACAAGCAAGAGGCAATGACTTACAGCAAAGCACGATCCTCACGAACGCTGTTGTCGACCTCAATGATCTTGGATCCAGCCAAGAGCTGCATCACCAGCCCAGAGGTAACAATAGGGGTAATCCCGAGCTCCATAACCGTACCCCTGTTGGATGCGAGAATCACACGCATCCAGTAGAAAGGATCGGCGCCGGTGGTGGAGTGGATGCCATAGAGCGGCAGCTGGCTGCAGACCAAGAAGATGAAGAGAGCGATGACAGTGTAGATGACCTTCTCCCTAAAAGGGATCTTCCTGTCTGCGCTCTGCACCTCGGGCAGGAACGAAAGGAAAGGTCTCACCAGATGGAGCACCCTGAATCCTCCTCCCATTTTTTCTCACGAGTCAATGACAATAACCTTCACACAGCAGCCAAAAATTGATGGTAAGAGCACAGATCCAGAATCAGACTGGCAAATCGGTATATGAAATTGGCGTACACTGAATCAAACCAGACAGATCGACGAACGGCCTAAATCGGAACCCTAATTCACATGCAAGTGGGATTTTAAAATCAATACGGCATAGTTTGCACCGATCTAGCTCGATTGCAGATGCGCTAAGTCCAGAGAAATGCGTTGAGCAATCGAGTAGAGGCATAAACAGATTCAGTTATTCGAAAGCAGGGAGCCTTACTTTTGGACGCGATCTGTCGATGGCGGAAATGGAGCTCGCAGAGAAGTAGAGCAGGACGCGGCTCGTTATTTGACCCGCTCCGAGAAATCCCGATGTGGGTTAGAGGTTGTAACAGTTCGAGTTTACATAAAGAGGGTGGGCAGGTGGCCACGAGACACGACCAATTATATCGTGACACGTAACAGACGACCAATCAAATTTGGGCTGATGTGTTAAATGTCCCTCAACTTGGGCTGTTGCGGCCTGCGGGCCCGTTCATTTTCTTAGGATTTTTCCTTCCCTACGACCTCTTTAGGATTTTTAGTTTTTTTTCTCTTTACTTTTAATTTGTAGATATAATCCACATTTCAGCATACATAAGGTGAAATTTCAGCTTCTACATCTCGTTAATTGAATTCCCCTGCTCCAATCTTGATTCGAGACATTTGGCATGTGAGCATCTCACAATCAGAGTAATTACTATCGATCCGATCAATGATCCCTGTATAACATGATCCGCTAGTATTAATTATTGGGTCGTATATATGGTAAAACAACGGTCACCGTAGATATACATCTAAATCGAGATGCATTGAGCTCACTCTCAATCTAAATGAAACTCGTCACAATCCACACATTCGATGAACCTGACACAATCCACACATTTCATACAAAAACTAGATATGAGATCTTCTAGTGGAAAATCAATCCAGAACCCTACATTTCATACAAAAACTAGATATGAGATCTTCTAGTGGAAAATCAATCCAGAACCCTGATTGCTCAACCGAATTCGGCATTTTATGTTGGCCTATATAAGGGATATAAAACAAGAAGTGGAATCTCTAAGAGATGGAATTCATGAATCAAGAGCCAAATATATACACAAGCAAACACAGGAATGAGGGAGAAACGAAATAAAGAATCCAAGTTCCAAATTTGAACAAAAGAAATCAATCCAATGTTTGTCAATTTTCAGCAAAACATGTATTATATATGAATTCAACTAAGGCAATGGTAAGTCAGTTGAGGTAATCAGTCGACGGTGAATGGTAAAGCCCCTATTCCTATCCTTATATCCATCCATCCGCTTTTACATCTATGGAAGTAAAGGGAGGCTCTGCTGCAGATGTTGCTGAAGCTGAAAACCCACCAAGGACTGTTCCGAAACGAGGAGCAAACCCCTGCTTCCACTATAGCATTGCACTCGCTAATCGCTGACTACAGAAAACCCTTGTTAGAACTTTTAACCCACAATAAGAGCACCTCATGCCGAAAGTCTGGCTCAAGCTGGCAGCTGAAGCTTTGCGTTGTTCTTCCAACTGAAGAAGAAAAGTGTAGATTGAGATTAAGATAAGAAAACAGGTTATCAGGGGTGTGGAGCAGCAGCAAACACGAACGACTTGCATACCTCAAAAAGTAGTAGTAGAAAAAGTCTGCATATAAGGCTGTTTGTATGACGCCAGAGATGACAGCTGAAGAAAACCAGGGCAGAGTTATATCAAAATGCAACATGGTCTCTCAAGAAGAAAGACAGAAGAAATACAAGGGACAATCCGTGGGGAGATAGTGATAGTTACTGTTTTACCTATCCAACGTCCGAAATGTGATTCAGTCGCATAACGGTATATCCAATTCAAGATGTAGAGTCCACGGTAGGCCCTGTAAGACAAAAGACTGGGTCACTCCTAAGATTTACTGTTGTTGGGTTACATGCCTTCGGCACACCACATGGCTGTGTTTAGAAACTAAGACATCTAGAGTGATCTCTAGAAGCCAATATTTGCAACTAGCACCCAGCATTTTAAATGATGACAAGGGAAAGGCTGTCACCACTGGTTTGCTTTTCCACTAAGTAAAAAGCTTATAGTTTTGTTTCTTGTGTAAAAGTAATATACCAGCAATTTTACTAAACCAGGATAATGTAAGAAACAACCTAACCATACACATCAGAAGAAACAAACTAACCACTGAGTTGGTATTATGTTTTCTTTTAAATGGCTAACCCCACACTCAGACATCCTAGGTGAGGATCAAATAGCAGTTAAATTAAGGCCATCAAAGCCTGGAGCAGTCCACCTGTCCCAAGCCGGTAGCTTTCTCATGACACCGATATGATGAACATACCGATGATTGAACATGAATGAAACTAAAAATTAAGATCAACTCTCAAGCCTAATATGTTAAGAGAACAAACATAATGGTCAGTGCAGAAAAGCTCTCCACGATCATCTTACACTAGTACTAAAAGCTATCAGTTACGTCATCAGAAAGATACCAGCAAGGCAGGATATATAAAGAAGGCCAACGTAGATCTCTCAACAAGTAATTCGGAAGGGCAAAGAAAATTCATCCAGCACAATGCAGAAAAGAAAAGCTTTAAGCCGACAAAACTTTCAACAGGGCACTCTTTCATCCCAATGGTGCTCTACATGATATGGCCATCTAGATACAGCATTGCATGACCCAGAGTGGTGCGACAAAAGAGTGATTCTAGATATATCAAACATTTAAAAGTTCCAATATGTCATAGCACATAATCATTAGTAAATATCCTACAAATCCATAGAGTTACAAATTGAACTGGTTCGAGCAAAAAAGAGTGCATTTACGTACCCGAGAAATAAGACATATTGCCCTGTTAAATTATCCACATTGCCACTCCTCTGGAGCAGGACCAACTGAGGAAGAATTGCAACTGCTTCCAAATATATTGAGAATGCCCAGAAGATCTACACCAAACTATGACTATAAGAGTACAAAGCAAAAAATGGAAATGGCTTGTGAAGAAAGACAACTGTCCATAAGATTCAATCTACCACTTGAAGCTAATGAAGTACTCCCAAGTTCCAACTGAATTTTACTCATAAAGATCATACAGCAGATATAGAAGAGTACTAAGGATTAAGAAGCAGCGTCCATTTCTGGGAGCTTCTCTACCAAATTCAAAGCATATAACCCCTTTCCTTCTTTCCTCCCTCCCTTGGTTTCGTACCAAAATCAAAATGATACTTAACCAAAACTGCACCACGGATATAGAGAGTACTAAAGATTAACAGAGCTAGACGAAGCATCAACTATCTGGGAGGTTCTCAGCCCCATTTCAGAGCAAATACTGCCACTCTCAAATAATGGTGCAGGACCAAGCCAAAGCACAATCAAACGCTTAACCCACTTCTAGTGAAGTAAATGACAGCCTATGATCATTCCAAAATCACAACGATCAACGAGGACAAAAGATTATCAAGTAGTCACCTCCAGAAACGTGAACTTCTCGTGCCAAAGCAATGCCAGCACGAAGCTTCCGCCGACGAGAAAATAGTGGCGGAACGTATCGAGGTCCTTATCGTAAGAACGGCGGACGAGAGGATGCCTCCGCATGCACCACACGATGGCGAGACTGCTGGCTATGAACACCATCTTCATAACATGGTTGTAAACGGAGACGAAGTTCGTGAACAGATCCAAGTACCTCGCGAGAAACACCAGCGCGTACAGCTCCTGCGTCTTCCTCGAAATCCCTAATTAATAATGAAAAACAAAACGATAGGTGCCGGTCAATTTGAGCATCAATTTGTTCCAGGAAGGGCCATAAGAGCAGCGCAACCATTCACGGCGGCAGCGAGGGAGGAGGAATTTTACCTGAGCAGGATTTGGTGGCGTAGATTTTGAGAAGCAGGATCAGAATACTGATCAGGTGAGTCATGTCGCCGAAGAATCTGAAGATATTCATGGCGGCGGGGGAAATGCGGTGTGACTGGGAGGAGCTGAAATTGGTGCCCTAGAATTTCCCAGTGAACGGAGGAGGCGCGGTGCGACGGCGGGCAGAAACTGTTGTTAAAATTCGAGGGGTCGGTGGGGAGTAGATAGAGAGAGTGACAGTTCGTCGACTCCTCGGCTCCGCTGGTGAGAGGTGAAGGTGAGTGCTGAGGTGGCACCTAGAAGAGGCCCCTCCTCCTTCCACGCAGATGGACAAATTCTGGGGTTCTTTGTTGGTCAGTATTTGACCGGTTTGATCAATCCGATCGAATCCAACCGGTTCATATCTCGAGTTTATACATAACATTGGTTCAAAATCCTCATAAGCTCCTATTCATTAATTCGTAATTCGATCAATCTTTTAAAAGATTAACGCTTAATTTGAGTGAACCGTTATATGGGCAACATATATCTCAATATGATATGCTCAAATCAGATCCAATTGATAAAAATCTAACTGAACTAGATCATCACGTTCAACGCACTTTTGATCTAACTCACTCATAAGTCATAATGTTATTTGTCTCGAAATTAATGCATCGTAATGCAATTATCCTGCTACTTACATGAATAGTTTGCAATCGCATTCATCTATAACTTTTTGTTAAACGGAAAAATGACAAGAGAAAATAGCAATACACGGGAATTCCCCACACCTACAAGAACTCATTGACCCTAACTACAACAATAGTCATGCTAAGAAATCAAACGATTCCGATTCTAACAAACACAAATAAAGGGCTTTACGCGCCACTTTATGGGCAGTCCAATTGACAACTCTAAGAACCGCCATAAACTCTACACCGAGAGGCATGCTCGAGACCTGATGAAGACAATCTCGAAGTACTAGTTCACCCAATGCATTTGCGCAATCTACCGCAACAGAAATGGCATGTTGAACGACAAAAAGTTCTACAATGTATGGGCTAGCTATTACGAGTTGTAATTATATGAGTTTATCCTATTCAGTATCTTCCCATGTAGTACAAGTTTTTATTTTCAAAGATACCCCAGCCAAACATAAATAGCGGTATAAAAACACGAGAAAAAAGAGAAGGAATCAAATAGTGTAAAGAAGAGTTCTCATGTTGCAAATTAAACAATTGGCGCCCTATGTGGAAAGAACTCCTAAGCTTAAACTTTTGTACGGAAATGCTTGAAGTGTAAACTCTTTGGGAGCAAACTGACAAGTTTATTGATTAGAAATCAAGAATGTTAAGTATAAGGGTTTCAGCCATTGACTTCGGCTTTCAAATCAACCCACTAACCCCTTGATTTCAGCTCCCATGACTCAACTAACAACCTACTAATATGCTAACTTAACAACCAAGCATTCTGTAATGTTGGAAACTCGGATGGACTCAATTGACACTAAACAAAACACAAGGACTAAACTGAAACAAAGACACTTTGCCTGTTCTAGACTCTTAAGTAAAACGTCAACCGTTTTATTCTTCTTATTTG